ATCTACACAAATATAAATGTTTAAATTATCAAATTAATGTTTAAATAGGCTACACAATTTCTTAGTATTTCCCATCTTTGCTGAACAAAAGTTGAGCTGAAGAAATTAAAGGCCTGTCTCAGATAGAAGTCAAATAAAAGGCAGGTTGAGTTCAGTGACTGAAGCAAATAAAAGCCCAGGCTATTAATTTAAGTTTTAAGGTGCACCTGAATTTTATTCTTCAACCTTGAGTTGTAAATTATAATAAAATAACCTTGAATCCTTTAATATTTACATCTGATTAACTGAAAAAAGTATTGATGAGATACTGGTACTATCGCCAGTGTTGGGCAGTAATTCATTAGTAATAATATTACTTTCCACAGTCAATTAATTAGTTACAACATTACTTTTGTTGTCACTCTCTACTGACCGAAATCCAACAATCCAATCATATCCTTCAGTTTTGTAATCGTGGAGAGATTAGCTCAGCAGCTGGAAATATTCACATTACTATGATTTTAACAAACAAAACTGGATTTTAATCGTTATAAGTCTGAATTTTGGGGAGATGGGACACAACTACCAATTTTAGTAGTAGTAGTAGCAGAAAAGTAATATAACTAGTAGTGTAACTAATTACTGTTGACAGGGAGTAATAAGTAAATTAATACTAGTAATAGTAAGTAACAGGTAATAACTAATTAATTATTATTTGTTTAATAACTAGCCCAACACTGCATTGCTACTCAATTTAGGAGACTTTCTACTTTGCCTCCAGGGGCAAATATTGTACTTTTTACAACACAACAATCATTTGATTTCACTCAGCCTGAGATAAGCATATAAAATCATTACAGGACATACAACCTTGTTTCTGCTGACACAATGCATTTTAAGACCTCTAAAGATTTCTACATTATTTCCTCAAAATGTAGTCTTCCAACTGATTCAAAAAGCAGGAAACTACAACTTATGTTTTTAAGAGAGAGAGAACTTGGTTTTTTAGTCTTTTTATTATTTACTTTTGTTAAATATTCGTGATTTTCATTATGATTTAAAACGTTATCTGTATGTTTCACTCACTGTCACATTACATTTAACTGCTAATAAAAGTAAAATATTGAATTTTCACTATTTAACTTAACATTAGAGCGCTTCTAACTCTTACATTTATAATTGTGCTAATCAAAGGATTAGAGACCTCATTACACCACTGCCCATAACTGCAACATACCATGTGTAGGCCTTACAGTTAGTGAAAACTTTAGGCCATTATTTTGAAGAGTAATCCCTCGACGTCCGGTGTCGGGTGTTCTTCAGTGTTGCCTGGCAGCTCAGAAGTACTTCCTTTGATGCAGTATGTCAGTGAATGGCAGGGGGCAGTCTGACTAACCTCATTTATTTTATAACAGTCATAATAGACCACAGTACATCGTGTTTGAATTACTGACAGGAAACCCCAGCCCTTTCACATAATATGTATTTGAACACATCATAAAAGTGGCTTCATTTCTCTCTAAAATTTAGAAACAACTCTGCAAATGATTTAACTAAAGTATTTTTTTTTTTTTTGGGAGAATATTTGGCTGGGATGTTATTCTCTGTATTTTTGTTTTTACATGCTTAATTAAGTTAGATTTTTATGTTGTTCTGGTTTTATTTATTCGTCTTTGGGACTTTTGAAACCGGTTGGACATCCCTCTGCTAGTCAGCACATGGGTCAGCAACAAGAGTAATTAATGGTTATATTGTTACTGTTATATACAGTCTATAGTTTTTACTCTGTGGCATCTAAAAAAACAACAACTAATAGTCTATGTAGTATCATAGATACCATAATAACACTGTAGTTATAACTACCGTATTATGAACACTCATAACCTGCATGTTATTTTCATAAAGCTTCGTATCACCAAACGTGTGATCCGTTAATAGCAATTATTTCATCTTTGTGTAGAAACTAAACCTTTAACCACTGACTTTACAGGAACGTTGAGAGACTTAAAGTGTGCAGCTCTATCAGTTCACTCTATTTATAGTTTATTTGAACATTAAAAAAAACAATAAACTACTTATGGGTAGAGTAGAGATACAGTGAAAAACAACAACTTACACATGTACTAAATACCAGAATATAAAATTAGTTTGTTCATCAATGTAACGACGTCAACACTTAACATTCAAACATGAATGACAGACAAACAGAGTTCCTCCTTACATGGCTGACACACTGAAGTCCAATTTACAAATGCACATTTATTGTCATTGAGGCCTGTTTGGCTGTATTGGTACTGTAGTCGTAGCTGGTCAGTGTGCACTGTTCATAAAAAGCTCTTTGTTTTGGTTATTTAATGGCCAGTTGAAAGGATGCTTTGTGCAACACTGGGACAGAATGTGCCTTGTTTCTGTCTACTTGACAGGCTCAGCAGCGGCTTCAGCTCCCTCGGGCTTGGCCTTGGACGATATGGAGTAATGGTAAGACCTCATGGACTCCTCAACCTTCTTGAAGTCAGGACGATCCTCGTGCCTGGTGAGAGAGGAGAGAGAAACAGCCATTTGAAGGGTTGTCACAAGACCTGAAGAGACCAGAGTGCCATGTAAAGCTCACAGAATCTCAAACACAGCACAATATATCAGGGATCTCAAACTGCTGGCTCTTCAAACCAACCCTTATATAGTATATGATTCAAATAAAAACACAGTTCTATTTAAATGAATGTATTTCGTTTGGCAAAGGTCAAATGTGCCTGCAAACACCTGAAAAGGTTGATAAGAAGAGATTTTTAGGGCCTTTATTTGTTATTTGGCTGCGAACAACAAAGATGATATAAAATGTGTTAAAACTGCACTTTTTCTTGTTAAGTATGATGTTAAGTATGATGTTAGTAATGTAAATATTTAACAGAATATGGTGCTTTCTTGTAGTAATTGAACGTTGGTAGCCCCACTATGAGATGCCACAGTGGTCAGGCTTTAGACATGGCCTATTGAGCAATAACTGCTGCTGAGGATGACATCGTTAACTGGCTTCATAAAAACCAACATTGTGCTGCACTCTTTGGCTTTTGATGATGTTGATCATAATATTTTGTTCAATAAACTGCTTTCCAGTGGTTTGGATTATTCTGCTTATCATCAACTCTCTGGTTCAGTCCCCTGATTAATAAAGGTGTCCCACAAGGATCAATATTTGTCCCACTGCTATTTACTTTATACAAACTGGGCCTCCTCCAGGTTACAGTCTGCTTTTATTAATTTAATACTTATTCTAAACTCTAAAATGACACAATTCATTGCATTTCTTGAGAGCACAGAGCTTTGATGTTCCTGCTCTGCTCTGAACCCTTAATGGAGAATCAGTTTCTTACTTGTACGTCCAGCATTCATTCATCACCGCATACATTCGCTCTGGACAGGCTGCTGGACAGTCCATGCGGTTCCCAGCGTCAATGAAGCGCATCACCTCTGGTCCTTTCATTTTCTGGACAAAATTAGGGACACAAAAAGAGAAATTTGATGTTCAGGATTAATCTTTATAGCGGTGAGATTTCTGTGATCGATAAACAAGTAGATGATAGATAGATATGGCTATACTTGGTACCTTGTAAGGTTTCCCTCCGTAGGAAAAGGCCTCCCACATGGTGATACCAAAACTCCACACATCACTTTTACTGGAGAATTTGTGGAAGTTTATACATTCTGGAGCGTACCACTTCAGTGGCCATTTACCTGCAGTACGAGCCTGGACGACACAAAATAACAACAGGCAGCATGTCAGTGATTCACCAAAGGCAGCCTAGATTTTATTGATAATTAGAGCCAAACATACACACAGCAGTGGTTTCCAAAGTGGGTGGCGTTAAGGATGGGCCAAGTTAAATTCTTAAATGTAACTTCTCTCCACATTAAAAAAAAATAATGGCTTTATTTCACTCATCTCACAAAAATCATTTAACTAAAGTATTTTATTTGGGGAGAATATTTAAATGTAGACCACATTAAATCTGCCTGGAGAGTTTTGGGGGTTTTGGGTTTCTATGATGTTGCCTGTATTTGTATTTTTACCTGTTTAATTAAGTTATGTTATTTGTCTTTGGGACTTTTTAAACAGGTTGACCATCCCTCTGCAAGTCAGCACATGGGTGTGTCAGCAATAAGAGTAATTAATGGCTGTATTGTTACACTGTTATATACAGTCAACAACAAATAGTCTATGTAGTAGTTCATATCAAAACAGAAAAAAACAAGCAATAAACACATAAACCACTATAGAAAAGCAAATTTTACTTTTGAAATAAATTAAGAAAAATGTCTAATTAAATAATTGATAAACCTAATTTTATTGTAGTTATATAAATAAGCTTAATATTCATCTGTGAATCTGCACAGCAAGAGCGCTTAAAACTGTTGACTCGGCCCTATATTATTTCACTTAATGCTGACGTTCATACATGTCACATGTGCAAGTGTATGATTGACAGGGGTGGACACTGGGTGGCGTGTTGTGTAGGGCAAATATTTGTGAAACAATAAAAGTCTTGTTGAATTAAACAGTACGGTCCAGTTGTATATTGTCTTTCTCAGAGTCAGGAATTCCTTGGACTTTCTGATCCTTACATTCCCTCCAGATGTAGGTCATTAAACCAGTGAAAAGAAAATCAATGTGTTTGCTTTAGTTTGCACAGAGCAGGTGACACCTTTTAGTTAGTAGTTGCATAGTGGGAGGTCAATAATTCCTAGAAAAGCAATCAATTTAAGATACACTATCTATTTGTGTTAGCCGCCACACAGATAATCCCGACGCCCCCACCCTTTAGCGGTTCTACATCTGTGTCGCTTTGTCTTGCAAGTGTAATCTGATGACGTGTGTATACCTTGTAATAGTTGTCGTCTGCTCCCAGAGCCTTGGAGAGCCCGAAGTCACTGATTTTGGCGAACTGTTGGTTGACCAGCAGGACATTACGAGCTGCTAAGTCTCTGTGCACAAAGTTCTTCTCCTCCAGATACTTCATTCCCATCGACACCTGGTGCATCAGGTTGACAATGTTCTCCACAGTTACAGTATCCCTGTAGTGACAAAAATAGATGTTTTTTCTTTCTTTTAGAAGTCTACTTTTCTATCTAAATCAAGCGTCTGAGGATAGAGGGAGTTATATGTCACTGGCTCCCAATGCTGGGGCCCTCCATAAATCTGAGGAGTCACAAGATGACTAAAAGATAATAAAATATACATATGTGCCCCGTGATGTGCCACAAAAGTTCCCTCTTGGGTGCCTTTCCAGTGGAGAAAATGTGATAAAGTTCCCTCTAAGATGCTAATCCTGACCCACACTGAGCTGTTTCAACATAAATGCATCACAACTTTCTGTGTGCTAGGGACCTTTGGCCCCTCAAACAACCCATGATCAGTTCTGATCCCAGGACCGACAAACTCTTGATTCTTCACTGAAGGAAAGTCTCATCCAATTGGATGAATCTGGACCTTTTTAAATATGTCTGTAATTGTCTCTGTATGTTTGTATGTGCTTGTGTGTGACTGGTGGTGTTTTGTGAGTCTTCGTATCACTGTTTTATTTCTTCTGCTGTGCTCTTGCAAAAGGAATCTTGATCTCAGTGAAATTACCTGATTAAATAAAAGTTATAATAATATTAATAGTGTCTGCCTATATGCAATGATACCTGAATGACTGTTTAAGTTCGTGTTTAGTTTGTCTGGTGGTTTTAAAGATTTGATTATGCTTAGAAAACAAGGAAAGTGCATGATGTGAATGATAAAAATGCATGTATATAGAAATTAGTTCATTATGTAACAGAACAAAATGGGGCTCCATGACACCCTATCACATTACCATTAACCACATTTGATTCACACACATCTTCTATCTGAACTCACTTATTGCTGGAGAGGAATTTGTTGAGAGGTCCTGCAGAGGCCATCTCCATGACCAGCATCAGGTTCTCAGCGTTGCACAGACCCAACATGCGAACGATGAAGGGGTTATCCAGCTGGTGCATGATCTCTGCCTCCCTCATCATCTCCTCCTTGACCAGCTTTTCATTTTCACTCTTCAGCACTTTGATGGCCACATCTTTCTGGCCCCTGAGAGAAAACAAACAAAACATCTGACCTTTTAAAGATGGTACAGACCCCAAGGTAAAGAAATACATAATAATGCACAGACACTAAATACACACACACACACACACACAGAGAGAGAGAGCTCTGATGCAGTGTTTGTTTTATAATGTTTCCTTACGATTCACTCTTGAGGACTCCTTTCTTGACGCAGCCAAAGTTCCCAGAGCCGAGCTCCACTTCATCAATCAGCAGCTGAGTCCTCTTAATGTTAAACCTTCTCACTTCATTCGGGTTGTGGTACGGGTTGAATTCCTTGCAGTCCATCGGCAGCACGTCACGATCTTCGGGTACAGCGGTTGCTATACAAAGAATAGAATAATGCATTGTTTAATCTTATATTATGTGCGTAGAGGGTATAAAGTATAAAGTAATGCAGTCTTAAATCTTATGAGTGTGGTGGGAAAAGTAATGCAGTAATGTAGTAAGTATAAAGTAATAGAGTATAATGTACTCTCATGTGCAATATAATGGGTGTTTGTGTTGTTAACAGTTATATTGTTTTATTTTGATGAAAACAGAAAGATAGTTATTCAGTGATGTCACTTCTGTTACACAGCCTGTAGGGGGAGCTCTTGGTCTGTGTCTCAGTCATTAAACGTATTGACTTGGGAGCTCAATAGCTGTTTCCAGGGCTTTTTTAAATTTTTTTATCATCAATTAATCTGTCGACAATTCCCTAGATTAATTGATCAGTTGTTTGGTCCAGGACATTTCAGAAAATGGTGGAAAATAAGGTGACAATTTTTTTTTAACATCCCATTTTTTTAACATCTATTGCCATACGAATTGAATTAGAGGATTAAAAAGACATAAGGAAATCAGAGAAGTTGGACATTTTTTCTTAAAAAAAATATTCAACTAAATTATCAAATGAATCTTTATGTGATGGCACAAGTTACATACATACATTAATGCAACTGTTCAGTGATTTCAGTGATAATATTATGATATTTAGTAATAATAAAAAAGTATTTTTTCTGCATAATGAGTACTATTACTTACGATACATTTTACTGCTAATACTTGTGTGTTTTTACTTGTCTTGGAGTATTTTTACACTTCTTGCTTCTTTTACTTGATTAAAAGATCTGAACTCTTTTTTAATCACATTAATTGTGTTTTCCACTGTTTTGTTGTTGCTTTTTGTTGTTTTGTTGTGTGTGCTTTCTTAACTTTAATTTTGGGTATTTTATAGTCCCGTCTAGGAACATGTTCTGCAAACTAGCTATGGCTATACATTTTGTGGCTCTGGTTCATACATGTCCCAATAAATAAACATTTAATCAACAAATCAAACTTATTTTACTGCAGCATAACATAATAAAGTGGTCGCTGGTTGTACTTAAGGTTACTGACCTCCAGGTGGCGGTGTGTATCGATTTGCAGCAGTTCGCCTCTGAAAGAGAGTTACATGAAGAATGAATGAAAAAGAAAAACATGCTGACTTAAACAGTGCTGGATGTAGTCAATACTCACCATTGCAGGAAGACTGGGTGTCTCTGGAAGATCAGAAAACAGATTAAAGTTGTAATATAGGTGTAATAATTAACAAGGTTGAATGTTAAAAGCAATCCACAAACATGAACTGGATAGTGGACATTGTTTGCAGCAGTTACATAATATATATATAATTGATATGAATGAGAGAAGGAAGTAAGATGTTCAGTACTTCCAGCATTTTTGCCGTTGACACACGCCTCCCCGAGAACAGTCACCAGGCCATCAGGTTTCATCTTCAGGTATTCAACCAGCTGGAGAGACAATTAAGATAACATTCAGTTTTAATTCATCTGCAACATAATTCCTAGAAAATGAGAGAGTAGAGAAAAGCATGATGGAGCGCCTAACCTGCCAGATTGTGTCAAACTTTGTTCCCTCCGGCATGGAGAACTTCCCTGACTTGTCTTGGAGGATCTGATAGTGGTACACTGTTTTCCCATACACCATTGAAAGAGCAAAAGAGCCTGTCTCCTCTCTGTCTCTCACTCTGAGAAACAAACAACAACAAAAGGTGTTGCTTAAAAAAACCACACCAAATCTTTCACACTAAATCTTCAGAGGTTGGTGCATCACCTCGAGCAACTTACAGAAACTTGCCATCTGGTTGTACTCCAGAGTAAAGCCGCCTCTCGCTTTCCTGACGGGTGGTTTTACCGTGATACCAAGGCATCTTCTCATGGGCCGTCGTGGCGATCAGTTTCTCCAGCTGAGGAGCTTGACTGATGATGGCCTGCTCCATGGCTTCTCCCTGAGCAGGAAAACAGCCAAGACCGATGAAGAAACAGTCATTTAATGCACACATTTAGTCTAATTACCCCGATATATATACATTTATTCAGCAATTTCTGTAAAATTCTTTGAGAATTTGTAGGTAAAAGTTAAGTAAAGTATTAACAGCAAACTGTTACAGCCCCTGTGATTGATCTAATATGATAAATTACATTATTAGATCACTAATGTGGATGCATACGTAGCTTTTTCTTGTTGTATGAGCCGTGGTCAAGATGTAGTTTTAACTCTATACTGTTTATTGTCCAAACTAGTCGATCACAAACTAAATCTGAGGGGTCATGAGATGATTAATAAGGTAGGAAAGAAGAAAAACACAAATTTGTAATTGTGTTTTTGAGTTTCAAAGAGCATTTTTCTTTGAGAAATATTGGATATTTTAACCTCTTGTTAAACAGTTAATCATAGACATAATAAGTGGCCACAACTACACATTGCTTTTCTTGAAGGCCACACAGAAAAAAGAGTTGGAAACCATTGGTTTAATCTTTAGCAGCACATTGTATTTTGCTTTTCATATGGTTTTATGTCAAAAAAATAACCTGTAAAGTACTTAAATCGGTCAGCTGAATGTAGTGGAGTAAATAAGTACAATATTTCCTTCACGGATGTAGTGAAGTAAAACAAAATTGAAATAGTAATATTATAAGTACTTCAGTAGTTGTTCTGCTGTACTCTGCTACTACAGAGCTGATTGTTCTGTCTCCTTTTGATCCCCGCTGGGGTCCACAAACACCTGGAGCTACTTTGGCTGTTTAGATGAAGCCCCACCAGTGATAAAAGGTTACTAGTCTCAGTGTTTGTGCAGACAGGGCCAGACCTCAAACTGAGTAAAGTAAAGGTTTATCCACGAAGACACTAAACAAATAAAAAAAGTGCAATTTCCAAAATCACCCTTACATCCTGTTTATTTTCTGTTTGTGTATCTTTGGGATATTTCAATGAGTATGAGAGTCTTTGCTGATCGTTATGTTCAGGTTCTGGTTAAACTTTGGGAAATGTGTGTCTTTTATCTTCAAATGCGTGAAACTGTCTGTGTTTTGTCCGCCTAAATTACAATGACTTATTTCTTATTTGCTAAGTATAAGTTTTCTAATATCGTTTCTACTTCCATTGTATCTGGAGGTAGAAATTTCAGAGATGGTGGATAAATCAAATGATCGGAATGCCAACATACCGCTGGAAGTAAGTGACAAAATGTGGGTGAACGGACCAGTGGTGGAAGAAACACACAGACCCTCTACTTAAAAGTATAAAAGTACAAAGACCACAATGTAAAAATACGCCATTACATGTAAAAATCCTGCATTTAAAATCTTACTTAAATATAAGTATCACTCTGCAGTAAAATGTGACTGATACATCTTCATATATGACATTATCAGTGTGAATACTTTAATGTTTAGTAGTATATATCTGCCAGAGCTGGTTGAGTGAAACCTACTTTATAGTGGTTCCCAACATAGGGGTCGAGCCCCTCCAAAGGCTGATAAGATAAACTTAATGGGTCGTGGGATGATTAATTGTATGTTAAATATTGGACATTTGGGCCTCAAACTGTTGTTTAAATAGAACAATGAGAGAAGTTTAGAGGGGAAAAGTGTCTTAAATGGAACTTATAGACGTCTGAAATGACAAAGAGCCCCAATTCAGCTTTTTGTGTGAGAGGTCCCAAGCCAAATGTTCGGGAACAACTGCTTAATCTTAATCAATATGTTGTATTTTATATGCTCGTGTGTTTTTATGTAAAATCTTTATAGTAGTTACGTCTTTAAATTGAAGTGGAGTAAAAAGCATAGCAGGCATATAAAGTAATATAAAATAGATTCACTCATAATAAGTACCCTTAAATTTAAAGTACAATTCTTGAGTACATTTAATAAACTACATCCCACCCCTGGAACCGACCCTTTAATGATTAAATGTATTAACATATTTGGTTATAGTACAACTTTTTTTATGTTGATGAGTAGTAAAGTTGAAGGTAACTGTTCCCTTGCACCCAACAGTCTCAGCAGAGCCTCACCTCCAGGGTCCAGGTCTGCCTTACGTATTCCCTCAGCATGTTTTCTCTCAGGTTGTCGAACACGCCGGCTCGTATCGGCGTATCCGGGGGCCGCAGACAGGGTTTCTTCAGGGAGCACACAAGCCCATCAGCGTCTTTGCTGTAAAACTCACAGAGTTCTGCAGGCCCACAGTGAGGCTTCCCTCCTACGATGCAGTAAGTCCCATTAAGCTGCTTCTCTATGGGGTAATGGTGAAACTCCAGGTTCCACACGATAGACAGGACATAGCCTCCCAGACTGCGGAGACACTGTCGCAACAAGAAGAGCCCGTCGGACATCCCGGCCAGCTTCAGGTGCTGCTCAGCATCTGAGCGGCTGATGCTGCCGTAGAAAAAAGGCAGCTCGGCCGCCGGCTCGATGGACATGGTGGGAACTGGAAGACTATAGAGGCAGAAAGGGAAGGTGTTTAAGCAGTTAAAGTCTTTGGAAATAATTCAGTAGTCCAACGTGTGACCAGTGCACTATTTAAATCCAGGCTGTGACCTCTGACCCTTCAGCCTTTTAGGCCTCAACTCTCCTCCACTGTCTGCTCAATCACATATTACAATTATGTAAAAAAAAAAATACAGTTTAAAAATGGACATTCATTCATTCATTCACTCATTCATTCAAGTTTTTCCAAAAAGCGAAATCATCATCCGAAGAACCTCACCTCTTCTTTTTCTTCCCTTTACGTTACACCTAGAGAACGTCTGTAGTTTACAGTGTTTTTTCAGGACTGTCGGCTCTACACGGATGAGCTGTGAGGCATCATATGTCTGGATGAGATATTTAACAAGAAGCACCCACACTTTGAGACTGCCTGCATGAAGGTTGCAGATCGACACTGGTGACAAAAACCACAACAGGAAGTTGCAGTCCGCCCTCACAGCCTCCTTTCTCCAGCATCTTGCTCTTCCGTTGAACAGGTGCTTTTTGGTTCTAGATCATTCCCTCTGCTTTAAAACTCGAGTTTGTAAGTTTTTTTCTTTAGAGGTGGAAAACTTTAGTTTGTTTTTAGGGGAGTAGAATTTAATTAATTGTTAAAACAACGACTGTAGGCACAATGTGATGTGTCTGTTAGGAATCCAATACAAGGCATTTTGAAGGGGTGTCTGAGCTGAACTGAATCATAAAGAAAAGATTAAAATCAAGGTTTTGCTGTGTGGAACGGTTACGTTCTAGCAGGCGGAAAATGCCTGTTAGAGTTCAAAAACAGACAGAAATCATAAAACAGCAACCCAGAGGAAGAGGGGTGATCAGAATATGCAGAAGAACTCGTAGTAAGGATGCAGATTTTTATAATAAGCACATCAAAACTACAATGAAATAAGAGGAAGCCGGCTGGTTTTTGCAGTGTGTTGGAAACTTATCAGTCTTGACTTTTGTCTTCTGTTAGATCATAAAACAGTTTCCGGTTTTAGTATAAATGGAAAAGATTACACTACCCAGAAAAATGCATTCACATTGAATCTGAACAGACTGACATTTTTATGTAAGAGTGAAAAATAGGATGATCTATGATTTAAACTAATCCTATCACAGAAAAAAGTGTGAAAACCTCAGCTTCCTGGCTTCATACCTGAGTTGCTGCCCACATCCACAGTGGACAACTGAGCAAAAACACATAGTTACCACAAGACACAAGACTCCACTGTGCTCCGACCCCGCTCTCACCACAACAAAGACCCCCAGACCTTACTATGTGGACAAACGGATACCCCACACACCTAAAGACAAGCTGTGATACAATATATCACAACAATGTGCGAGTGCACTTCAACCTATTTGTGTGGTGTTTCTTTAAGATATAGCTCAGCTAAAATGAGATTAAATGTGCTTTGTTTGGGGGGATTTTGTGAGTGTGTGATAAAGCTCAGCTAAAATTGGGCTGTATGGAGGAATACTCTTCGTCACGGATGATGTATTTTAATGATTTACTCAAGTAAAACAGGCAATAACACACCATTAAGGAGCGGAGCGTAACTGTAGTAACATGGTGGTTCAACATGGTGGACTTGGAAGGCGTCTGTAGATAAAAAACGACTCATTCTAAGGTAACGAAAAAACAACGATTCCTATATTCAGGTCATCATACACTAATGAAATCATAGCTATGAATTATTATCTTCCAACAGATCCTCCTAAATGTTACACTCTGGACCTTTAAGCCAACATTTGCTGGTTCCAGCGTGTGAGGATTTTCTGTTTTTGTTTCTTAAGATAATATAACGATGAGCAACACACAGTGATGCAATTTTCCATGAAATCAGAATTCATCAGCAACTTCTGTGATGTGACTTGAACAGACTTAAACTGAAAGAGAAAGCGAATTTAATTACAAGCCAACGAACCCTCATAACACACCATGACGAGCATATTAGACACACTGCTGTAATTTATGACACGACCAAGCTAACCAAAATATTGACAGTTTTCCAACAAAACATTAAAAATAAAACAGCAACGACAGCTGCCAAGTCTTCACTCAGCTCATGCTCCTTTCAAAATGTAACTGTATTTTCTGTTTTACATGTATATTATGGACCACAGCAGCAAACAGTGGAGACAGACGAGGTGACACATGACACAGTTCCTGAAAGAGCTTTGAACCCACAATGTTCCGTGGTGCCTTCTCGCTCTGAGCCCGGGGCTGCTTTCATCAAAAGATACTTTAAAAGACAGAAACTAGCTGAGTGCGACGTTTAACCTTGAGCTGCGCATAAAATCGTACTTTTTCAAATGAGGTGTTGCAGAGTAAGCAGAGAGTGACCAAAGGGGGAGCAGTGGAAAAAGCCCTGTGAGTCACTGTGCTTTCAACAAACGGAGGAGGTTAAAAGTGACACACGGCAAAACCTACAGGCCAGAGTTGTTTGTTTTCCACAGAGGAGAGAGGGTGAATGATTAAGGTCCTCCAGTAAAGTAAATGTAATGAAATGCAAAGCAAAAACCTGATCGTGATCTGGTCAGACTTTTCAGCTTTGGTCAGAAGTGACTTCTTCCGATCAGTCTGGATGTCAGTGATGGCAAAGTTTTATCAAGCATGAAGAGAACTGAGTGAACACAAGAGGTAATATAATGTTCCAGATTGCCCCTAATAAAGAAGAACTCTCTGCAAGTGACCATAAAAAGCTCAGGCATACAACATCAGCTAGAACTGGGTGTATGGTGGATCTATTATTTATTATCCAGTCATGGAAGATGTTTTCAGATCATTTACTCAAGTAAAACTACCAATTAACCACTATAAAAGTACCCCCTTGCAAGTAGAAGACCAGCATTCAAAATTGTAGCTTATTCAAGTAAAACTAACTATTAACAAACATAATAATTAGCAACTAAATGTCCTTATAGTAGCTTAATAGAAGACCAAGAGGTTACAGTCATAGCAGCTCTGAGATACTGCGTAGATACAGTGGCGTTTTGAGCTAAATGCTAAATGTCGACATGCTAATGTGCACAAAATAAATCAAACTGCAGATTTTTATCAGGTAAAATTTACCATCTTACAGCAGTTTAGGTGTGTTAGCGTGCTAATATTTGCTAAATAGCACTATAACCTGATGGCGATATAGAAGAAATTTCATTGAAGGTTGTTCATCCTATGAGGGAACGTACTGTGCATATGCCAAACTTTGTGCTAATCTATCCTGTAGATGTAAAGATATTACACTGAATAACTGTAACCTCTGACCTACTGCTGAATCGGGGGATCTTAAAAGTCAGCATCAGCTAAAAAATTTCACAGCGATCTATCAAATAGTCACAGACCAACATTGCCGCTATCTTGCTTTAGTCGCAAGCGTAACAAAAAATGTGTAAAACAGCCGTAAACACAGGCGTTACCAATGATGCTAATCAAGGTTTGTTCCATTCTGCATTAGATTGAACAGAAACTTAATTAGTTTCACTGGTAACACCTGTGTTTACCCTACATGCCAAAATGGCTGCAGTGAAAAACACAACTTATTAACCCCACCAAATAAGACATATAACAGAGAATATTTAGCCTTTTCACTATAAAATGACATCCAAACATCTGAAATGTTCAACCCAAGACTTTAGTAGCTAACGTCAACGTCAGGCTGACAGGATCCACTGTGGGGGGGTCACAAAATGTCTGTTTGAAAAGCATAAAAACCCTCTACAGCACAGACACTCAGCAACTCATTCGTCCTCTTTTACTCTTCTGAATCATACATGTAAATACCACTATGAGGTCAGTGATTCAATTTGCTTCTTTAACTAATAAAAGCTTTGTTTTCTGTAGATTACATGACTCACATTAAATCAAGAACATTCCTCTGATAACTATTCAGCTATTAAAGTTATTTTAGGTCATGATTATTTTGGTTGCGCTATCAGGAAGTCAGCTCGGGGGGGTTATGTAACTCGAAGCATTCCTCCGTACATACATCAACATTTGAGTCGGCATCCACCAACAGATAATGTGTCCTTTGACCCTCGTACATGAAATGATTTTTTCCTCCCAAACTGCTCTTTGTTTTAGCGATGATTTAAAAACAACTAAAGCCGTAGGCGGGCTTGGATAAAGAGGCTGATCTGCGTATCAGATCAGGGGCCGAAATGCCCCAAACTGAAGCATAATTTCCTACATCAATGGAAACAGTTGACCTTCAAATAAAACAGTTTGCTTGTGTTCCTTTGTCGTGAATCATATTGTGTTATTCCAAACCAAAATGAGGCTGTTGAGATTTAAATCTACACTGGAACAAAAAATTAAGTTAAGTGCCTTTTTTTCGTCAGCATCGTAATGTCTCTCACAGACCAAAAACAACACACAGCACAGTTTGTTGCAGGTGAAACCTGAGGCCTTTTTGCGTCAATTGGGCCTTAATATGAAACTAAATGTAACGTTCAAATTGTCTGTAAACACTCTGAACATTACACTGCGAATTAACAAGCACATTTTGTCCATGAGATCCTCTTTCTGGTGTCTTGCTGGATAATATTGTTTGACTGTGGCTGGAACATTTTGCAGATACGCGTCAGTCCAGGACCAAAAATACATCCAGTAATTTCAAGAAAAGTTACAAGCGATAAAAGACACACACACATACCTCTTCAGTGTGTTACAACCCACCCATTTTTGGTTTGCTATTCCGAGGCACAATAAAAGCAGCTATTTATATTTTGCACATGTAATCTCTACTTTTTTAAGCCAAAGCAACAATGCCTCAACCCGACTGTGGTGCACGCACACTTTTATTCTTTTTTTTTTTTACAGCTCAGACACAGCTGCAGAAACAAAGAAACACAGTTTAACTGGAGAGTTTTTTTGTTTAAACTTAAAAGATCATTAAGAATATAAATATCATAAATTATTGTGGGTTTAATTTAGAAAGTCACCTTAAAATGTCACTTTAAAGCTCTAGTGGAGTTCTAGTTTTGCTCTTGAGGCTGAAATGTTAAAACACACTTTAAATGTGTAGGTAGATATGTGTATATATATATATTGTACATATATATATATATATATGTACAACCATATGCATGTGGCATTTAAGAGAGAAAAAATACATGATTAACAGGTTGGATTATGACAAAAACATGTCTGCTGTTCAATCAGATATAACAACAAAACCTACTTACGTTGCTTCACTGCGAACTAGAGCGACGTTGTTGCTTCAGAGACAAACTATCTGATGATCTGACGTCTGTAAGGTGCTGTAAACTAGTGGGGGTTAGAGACAATGACACACACACACACACACACACACACACCCAGACACACACACACACAATCACAAAGCAGCTTCATATTTAAAGGAATAGTTCAACATTTGAGGAAATATGTTTATTAGCTTTCTTGCTATCGATATCGATTCCACTCTTCAAGATTAAAGAGATTTTGTCACAAATACATTAAAGCACCCTCAGGCAGTGCACAATGTGAACAGAAAACATTATAAAAGCTACAAACAACCAAAAATACCAGATAAAAATGAACAGATGAATACATGCAAAATATACAAAATAGTATTAGTTAGTGCAAATAAAGAACCTACAGTATTTAAATGGAGATAGTGCAGGTATATTATAATATAAACAGAGGTGATTGTCCTTGGGTACATTGTCCTTGCAGAGTTTATTGCTCATTGTTCAAGGCTCTGATGGGCTGTGGGAATAAACTCTTCCTCGGTCTCTCAGTGGGTGATTTGTGATTCGTTCTGGTCTGCCATACGAGACAGTTACGCTCCTCGACTGGATGCACTGCAGCAGAGCAGGAGGGTAACAGGACTTACTGTGAAACCTTAAATTTCCTCAGCTGTCTAAGGTGATACAGGTGCTGTCACAGTGTCAATATGTGTAGAGTCCAGTTTAAGTCACACTTAAATGTGTTGCCTCAGAGACAAACATATATCTGATGATCTGACGTCTGTAAGGTGCTGTGAACAAGTGGGGGTTAGAGACAATGACACACACACACACACACACACACACACACAGACACAACACACACACACAGACACAGACACACACACACACAGACACACACACACACACACACACACACACGTCTTTTCATGCTGAGTGAGAAGGGTCAGAGACAGGACCTTCTGTGTT